AAATAGAGGGCGAGACCAGTGTGGGGGAGTGGGTGTGACTCCAGGGTCCCAGCAGCTTCACTTCAGCCGGCTTTATATTAACTTCTGCATAAGATCTTACTTAAGAAAAGGCTTCCCTTGCTTTAAAAAGTTTGAAAACTTCTGATTACTAAGAAGAATCAGAGATTACCACTCCACCCCCTTAAGCCTCAAGAAGAGTGCCGGGCACCTTTTAACTTCATCACAGAGCTGAGAGGTGAGAAGTGTTCTGTATCAAGATGACAAGGCTCTGATATTAATCATTTATTGAACAGTGAGTCATGGTTAAAATCCCCCTACCCTGAATGCAAAAGACAGAAGGGAAATTTTACTTACCACAACTAAGAGCTTCCCCGGGCCACAGGGGGCATTCCCATGAGCTCTGTGTGACCTGAGTTCCTATATGTGTCAGATCAGGCTTTTGCCTAAAGAACATCTATCAAGAGATGAGCAGCCAGGACAGGAATGCTATATAAGTGAAAGCCATAGCTAAGCAGTATTTTGAATATGCTGAATTTTGGCCTAGAGCTACACTGTCCAATATGGTAGCTACGAGCTAATGAAACATAAATATATTTAAATTAAATGAAATTTAAAATTCAAATCCTCAGTCATAATAGCCACGTTTCAAGTGCTCAATCTCTACATGTGGCTAGTGGCTGTTACACTGAACAGCGAGAATGGAAATGGTAAAGAACATTTGTTCTTCAACGTTTGTTCTTTAATATTTCCGTCGTTGCAGAGAGCTCTGTTGAACAGTGCTAGAGTCACACTATCTAATTCTTTATTAATCCAGCTAGCGAACTGGGCCCCTCATCAAGCCCTGCACTGGCAGCTCCCTCCATGGACCGCCCCTCCCCTGCCCCGCCCAGAGTTTCCCTTTCCCATTCCTCCCGGCCTTAGGGTTCCTGGAACAGTGAGTTTGCGAGGGGCAGAATGAATGTGTGAAAGAGTATACATGAGTTTGTAAGCATGTTCTGAGAACGCTTTTATTCTCACTTTGGGGTCTTCGTAGCGTGTCTGCCCTGCCCAGGCTTCACTAGCAGAGGTAACAGATGGGGTAATTTTTCTTGAAATTTTTCTAAGTACATAAATATTCCAATAGGGAACCTTAACTTTTACATCCTAAAATTCAGATCTTTCTCGGAGATCTTATACTGTTACACAAGAAGTGTTTACTATAAACACACGTTAGAAACAGAATTTAAGAGTTGAAGCAATCTTAGAAATCATCTGTTTGACAGCTTCACTTTTCACAAAGAAGACTAGGAGACCCAGAGAAGTTCAGGGACTTGTCCCAGAATACACAGTGATTCAGCCTGCCCAGGGACCCAGGGCATCTGGTTTCCACCGCAGGGTTTTTCTCAATGCTCAACATTAAGAGATCTTCTCACTGCTGCCTTCTTCAGCCCCTACAGCTCTTTGCGCCTCTGACATAACAAGATACCCTTAGGGTCTCAATGTAGGCCCCTATTCCATGACCCCTTTCTGCAAGGCTCTGAGTGTTTAGTTCAAGCATGGTCTAGAAAAATTCTCCCCAAGCTGCAGTTTGTCTAAAACTGTCCCCTGAGCTTCGCACTGTAAAAGTCACCCTAGCAGTACAGAGAAATAGGAACCTTTCCCGTCTAGAATGACTAGCCTCCGTGCAGGTATAGTTTCAGTATTACAGCCAAATGTCAGAAACACTCTTCACTATAGCTTAACTTTCCAGGTATGTGTCTCACAAAGGTATGTATGTTGTGATTTTTATATTCCCGTAGTGTTTAACATATTATCCTTGCAGTAGGTGAAATTAGATTTGAAAGATAAATCTAGAAGATTGGACATGATTGTGATAATGAGAACTCCAGGCTCTCTTTCTGCTTATATTCTAGAACAAAAGTCAGCAGACTGTTACCTGTGGGGCCAAATCTGGTCCACTGTTTTATTTTGTTTTGTTTCATTTTGTAAATAAAGTTTTATTGAATTCAGCCGCACTTGTTTATTTACATGTTATCTAGAGCTGCTTTCACGCTACAATAGCAGAGTTGGATACAGTAGTTAAGACTGAAACCGTATGGCCTGCAGTAAAAAATATTTTCTTTCTGATACTTTACAGAAAAAGTTTGCTGATGCTTGGTCCAGAGTGACAGTAAATAAACCACTTTCCAAATCCTGCTTGCTATTTACTTCCAAGTGATGCTATGAGGTGGGAAAGATTCGAATTCAGAAAGATCTTGCCAAACCAAAACCATTATTCTAGCCAATTACAGCTTTTGCCTTTTAAAACTGATGCACTTACTAATAAGGAAAATATGTATTTTTATATATACACATACACACATATACACACACATAATTATTTAAAGGATGATGAGAATTTTTACAACAGGAATGCAAAGAGAAAGAAATAGTTGATATTTGCTTCTGACATCTTTTTTTCCAGCAAGACAATATTTTTTGATAATCAGGTTTTGTTGAGAATGAGGATTTCCTAAATTTCTTTATTTCTTCTTTAAATTATTATCATAGAGTTCCTTACAGGGCACATCCTAATCAAACAGGAAGAGAAAGAGGACAAAGTCCACCTTTTCTGACCCTAGGCTGTGGGGACTATGGGAAGAAGGAAAGCAAGGGAAGAGAAAGCAGGTATTTATATGTGTCTCACTCCGTCCTCTCTGAGGGAAAACGGCGGATAAGAGCATGGCCTCTGACTCAGAATGCCTGGGCAACGTTATATTATGTTTCTATTTCCTGCTCCGCAAAGCTGGGGTAACAGGGTTAGTGACCTTGCAGAATTGCGATGAGAACTAGGTAATGGCTTAGAATAGTGTACCAAAGCGCTTAGTATAGTGCCTATTGCATGGTGGTGTTGTTATGGGGGATGGGAGTGGTGGGTATTACTGGTGGATTTTGAAGGAATGCTGAGAGTGGGCTCGACCTCTCTCTCCCACTTTGGAGTCTGGAAGATCTCCTCGAAGGCTGCCCCTGCAGCACCTGGAATAGCCACATGAAAGCAAACTCTTTCCCAGGAGTGAGGCAGAGCTTGCCTTTCTCCAGGACTGTCAGCAGCTCTCAGTGCCCACATACCTGAAGGGGAACAGGGACCGAGGATCTGGAAGGAAAGTTTTCAGAGGGGGATTACCTTTATCTTTTTTAAAGATCCTCATCTGAGAATATGTTTTTATTGATTTTAGAGAGAGGATGGAAGGGGGAGAGAGAGAGCTCAGAGAGAGAAACATAGATGTGACATTCGTCAATTGCCTCCTGTATGCACCCCACTGGGGACTGAACCCAAAACCTTTTGGTATTCAGGACGACTCTCCAACCACCTGAGCCACCTGGCCAGGGCCTGAGGGGATTATCCTAGAGGGGTGGACCACTGAGCTGGTACCGCTGGGACAGGAGCACATACAAGACGTGGTAGATCCCAGAAGGGGACAAATCACCACGAGAGCCGAGATAGGGCAGAGTCTACAACAGAGCTCCCTGAGTCCTTAAGAGCAGGCAGAGAATATATCACGAGTTACCATGGCCACAGACATCAACCACCAAGGCCAGCGGGAGAGCCTGGAGCAGGCTCAGCCCACTTCAATTCAGGGGGCAACCCAGCCCTGCCCAGCAGCTCCATAACAGAAACTCAAAGCTGGGCAAGCCACAGGATACATCCAAGAGCCGTCACCCTCGCACCACAAAACGTACATAAACCACACCCCTCTCCCATGCACCTGGATGCCATCTTTGGGGGAGATGAGTAGAAATCTGAAAGACTGACCATTCTATCAAAACTAAACTGTTTACCATTTAAATTAGATCAGAACGAAATATAGTCCATCCCTTCTCTCATCACTTGTCCAGCAGGGTGGGGTCTTATAAATACATTACATCATTTAATAGATACAAAGAACTTGCCCCCCTTTTTTAAATCACATTTGGATGTGATGAGAATAGCTTATGATTTTCCTCCTCTCTCCCCAACACCCGCGTTTTAAACTCTGAATTGGATCATTCTCCTTTAACACCACCTCTAGCCTCCGCACCTCCCACCCCCGCACCGCCCCCTGCCGTCCCGCAACCGTGCACTCAGGGACATACCTACACCCACACAGACATAAGCTGCTGTCTAAAACCAGCTTCAGGGACAAGTCAGAAGAGTTTGAGGCTCTAAGGTGAACAACAGGAAGAAGACATTTCCCAAAAAACCCCCACCAAAACCAAAGGGGAAGAGCTGAGGGAGGGAAGAAGGGAGGGGGCAAGGGAAAGTGGTGCGGGGGAGGCAGAGACAAATGTATTTAAAAAATAAATAAATAAATAAAAACAAAAAACAGAAAACAAACAAAAAAACCCCCACCAAAACCGCTCATTCCTGGTAGCAGGGAAAATGCAATGGCTTGCACGAACTGAATCTGAAGGTATCACTTTCTCCTGCTCTGTTTCTGGCTCATCGAGGGAGAAAACAAGGGCATCGTACAACCTTTCAATAATAATGTGTTGTTTACATAGTTTGTAAATAAGGCTTACACTTTGAGTCCTATTAGGCAAACTACAATAAAAGAATTTTTTTTTTTTTTTAAGAAAAAGGGAACACAAGAAAGAACAACAGAAGTCCCTAAGGGTCGGTCTTGGGAATACGCTGGAGACCACTGCACCCTTGGTGACCGGGAACCCTTCTCAGCGCCACCAGTGTGCAGTCAGACAGTGCTGCCCTCAGGCTGGTTTTCAGGTTCCTTAATAAATCTACAGGGTTTCTGCGTCAGTAGTAAAGCTATTAGCTCAGAGCAGGCTGGGTGACCTCAGGTGGGTCCTCTGGGACTGGAGGGGCATTGGAGCCACTGAAGAAAATGATGCTGTCACTCCAGCTCTAAAGTCCACCTACCAATATGCCTCATGTCACCACTGGAGTATACAGGTACTCACTCCCGCGCTCACGCGCTCTCTCTCTCTCACGTGTGTGCTTGTGTGCACTTCCCCCACCAGCTGAGGCCAACACAGGCATCCTACAGCAGATGGATGAATAGCAGGTCTGTCCTGCCAGCTCTGTGCTCTCTCCCACCCAAAGAAATCAGAAGAGACTCAGACGGCAAAGCCTGGCATAGCCCAGTCTGTTAAGGCACTGTTAGCACTGGGACGTGTGAAAGCACCTGAGGGAAGCAAGATGGAATCTGAAAGAGAAATCATTGACCTTCAAGTAAGTTCTCTCTGGGAGAGAGGAGAGTGGAGATGGGAGCCTGGGGGAAGTTGGGGGAAGCTGGGGGAAGAAAGGATTAATATTTTGGTCACTTGATATTCCGCCCCCCTTACCCTCCTGATTCTCTTTCCTACCTCCCTTCTCCAAATGCTCCCTAGGGTTTATCTCCTTATTTTCTCTTTCTCCTCCCATTTCCCTGCCTGGTTCTTCACTTGATTTTAAATATGTGAGAAGCAGATTGTTTAAATCCCTCTTGACCTCTGCTTCCTTTTGTCGAAGAGCTAATTAGATTCATGTTACTAGAAAATGATTTCACATTCTGCACAGCGCTTTTCTCAAAACCCCTCGACAGCAGAGAGTTATTTGAGAGCAGCCGTGCAGTTATCTGGAGACAAGGAAAGATACAAGTTTTGGGGTAGGAAGAAAAGCAGCTGGCCAACTTTGCATTTTACAGGTTGGAAAAAACGAGCCATTCCTCGGCTCTCTCCCCACAAAGCTCTGCTGTGTAGGGCAGTATCTCATTCAGACAGGGCACGAGAAGAAAATCGGTATAGTCTACTAGGAGGCAGAGGTATGTGTCCCTCCCTACCTGAGATAGGCTTGCAGGGTATCAGAGGTTCCAGTCCACCATAGGGAAGGGAATGAGGAGCTCTAGTAAGAGGAAAGTCAGGTTGTGGGGGTGGCGTGGGGGGTCGACATTCCCCAACTCTGTTTATTGAATGGAATTGAGTCAACCTTTCTATAGCAGATCACAGTGGTTGTATGATAAATTCTCATAGTGTCTGACAACTAGAGTGGGAAAGGACTATTGAGATCAAGAATTTTTGGTCACAGAATATGTTCTTCAAGCAAAATCTTAAGCAGCAGCCCAGTATATGCTTCAGATTCAAGAGGAGCTGCTGTGTATTGGGCACAGTGTGGGAGCCTGGCAGGGCCTCAACCCCTGACCCTCCCACCCCCACTCCTGGGACACAACCAGAGAAGTTCTAGCATGAGTTGGAGCTATGTCAAAACCATCGACCTACCACAACTACATACCAGTATCACTTTCCTTGATTGTCATTCAGCCCCAAATGTGGACCCCCATCAGGGCTTGCTGGTCCCTCTGCCTGGACTCCTCTTTCTCTTGGCTGGCTCCTAGTACACTCGAGTCTCGGCTCAAATGTTACTGCCTCGAGGAGACCCTCCCCGCAACCTCCCTATAGGAACTCTCCTCCCAATTTAACTTTATCATTTGTTTTATTTCTCCCACAGCCCTGCAAACTTTTTGAAGTTACATTGTTTATTATTGATTACTTATTTTAATCTCACTAGAACATAAAGTCCGTTAAAACAGGATCTCCTCTGTTTAATTCATTGCTATATCTCTAGTGCCCAAGGCTAGTGCTTGGTGCACAGTAACTGCTCAGAAAATATTTGTTAAATGAATGAGTTAAGGAAGCCATGAGTTAGATGGATCACTAATAGGCATGAGGTCGCTCAACCAGAACATGACAGTCAGGACTCCAAGCCAGGACTTCTGATGTTTCATCTAGTTCTTTTTTTTAAAATTGAGTTTATAGAGATAAAGGAAGGGGAGAAGGAGGAAGAGACAGATGTTGATTTGTTGTTCCACTTATTTATGCATTCATTGATTGAATCTTGTATATGCCCTGACCAGGGATTGAACTTGCAACCTTGGCGTATCGGAACAACTCTCTAAACAGGGCTTATCTATTTCTTGCTTCCATTGGATCCATAGTAGCTAGGGAAACAGTATTGCTCATTTTCAGACTCTGAAGAACAAGTTTCTTACGTGCTGATGAACAAAACCATCCTGAGCTACAGGGAAAAGGCTCTGAATTTTAAAGGTTCAGAAGGAAAGAGGAAGACAGGACTAAGGACAGGAAAATTACTGGCCAGGCCTTGATAAGTGTCTCTGTCTCTGGTAGGTAATAAAGTGTTAGGGTACCTTTCTCTTCTTCATTAGAATTATTTCTCTCTCTCCTAATATACTCCTTTATTCTGGTATCTTATTCATGCTACTCTTTGGTCATTTATATGTTTGGTTGGTCAGAAGTTTATCATCCGTTAGTTTCTACAGTGTTCCCTCCAGCTCTGGATCAAATTAGGTCTTGAATCCTCTTTGACAACTAAGACACTGATCTGAGAAGAAGGTGAGCTTTGGTTATGGACAGGTGGAATTGTCTGTTCCCTAGGAGCATAATTTTACCTTTTCTTCACATGGCAGCCGCTGCATGAAATCCAGGGGAAAGATATAGATAAAGGCCCTAGAATTATGTACTAAAGAAATGTTAGTTCCTCCTCTGTTTTTTTTTTAATAGTTTCCCAAGGGTAGTAAAAATCTATTGACTGAAGCTAAGTCATTTCACCCATTTATTCAACTAATAGTTATTGATTAACAACTACTTTACTCTATGCTTGCTAGGTATGGAAAAGTAATTTAGTTCATGAAGTCATTATAATGCGTTGAATTTTCGCATGAGCCAAATAATGTTGCTTCACTTTACAGCCCCGAGACAAATTCTTCTTTTTTTAATTAAAAAAAGAAAGTTTTTTTAATCCTCACCCGAAGATATGTTTATTGTTTTTTGTTTGTTTGTTTGTTTTTAATAGAGAGGAAGGGAGAGAGGCAGAGAGAAACATGGATCAGCTGCCTCCCACACATGCTTCGACCAGGGATCAATCACGCCAACCTAGATATGTACCCTGACTGGGGATCAAACCCACAACCTTTTGGCATACAGGGATGCTCCAACCAACCGAGCCACCCGGCCAGGGCCCAAGACAAATTCTTAAACTTGTAAATGTGTTGCTGTGGCTGGTGTGGCTCAGTGGACTGAGTGCTGGCTTGCGAACCAAAGGGTCGCAGGTACAGTTCCCAAGGAGGGCACAGGCCTGGGTTGCAGGCCAAGTCCCTGGTTGGGGGCTTGCGAAAGGCAACCACAGATTCATGTTTCTTTCCCTCTCTTTCTCCCTCCCTTGCCCTCTCTCTAAAAATAAGTGAATAAAACCTTACAAAAAACAAAAAACTTGTAAATACGTTATCTACTCCAAGGAGAACAGGTAGAAACATGTTAATGATTCACTGTTTTCCATCCTGAATACCTTAAATCTCAAATCCAAACAATAACGGCACAGTATTTAAACCAGGGTAACTTTCTTTACCATATAATTATTGTTCTCCCCTTTATAATCTTGATCTTGGAGACTTCATTTATGTTAAGCACAGTGATTAACACCTATTGATTACTATTCCATCACCAAAACAAATAAAAAAAGAACAAATATTTACTGAGCTTCAAAACTGTACTAAGTACCAAAAAAACCATGATACCTGGCCTTAGAAAGCTCATCATTAAGTGGAAGAAATATACACAATTGTATAAAGAGATTGCTAAAAATACTGTTTTCCAAAAACATGATTCAGTTATTATCCCCAGGCAATAAAACCATTACTGATGGCTGACAACTTTTAACAGTAATGATAGTCCTTCTAGTTTTCATTTGTATTACAAAAACATAGCTAATCTATCAAAACTGTGATTTCAGAAATTTTATTGCTTAGAACGAGGCTAAAGGAAGTGGCGTGATATGTTTTAACACTTTATGCAGACCTTGCGAATGACGTGGACACACCCTAAATGGTTTGATAATTGTATGTGTCTTCACCGTTCAGAACTGCGGCTGGTTTAAACAGTAAGAATCTCAGGGGTGTGTGTCCTGCATATTGCTGCATTATTCTCACTAAAACATTGAAATCACAGACAGTACTACTGAAGTTTGGGAAACTCCAATCTAAAAAACATTAATTTAAGCCTCTCTTATTAGTGTTGCTGGTGTTTCTCTAGGTCAAAATCTATGAGACTGGGATGGTTAGTAGTGGTACAATTGGGTGTAGAACAAGATTAACAAACAGTACTCAAAGCGAGGTTCCTCTACCAGGTGAATGCCTGAAACCGCTCCTCTCCCTATAGCTCTGACTGCCAAGCTTCTGCCCTTCCCCCGCCCTGCCAGGGAGCTGAGCCTTCTCTCCCAGACCCTAGGCTGGCCGAGTTTTCAGTCTTTCCCCAGCTCCCAAAGTCTGAACATATGAAGGATTGAAGAATATCCCTTCTTCCCCTTCAACCAATGTTGCAACCCCAATCCTAAGTATGGAGTTCAAGCCACTTGCTCTGCTCCCTCACAAAAGGGAGTTCCTCTTCTGCTTACCATTTGCCTAAACAGATTCAGTCCAGTGCTGAATGTGGAGGAAGATGTGAAGATGATCAGAGATGGTCTCCTAGTGGAGGAACTAAGACTTGTACATACTAAATGCAAATTCATTGTAGAAAGGGTTAAGTACAGCAGGAAAGAAATGTTAATGTGGTTATTTCTAGATTATGAATGACTTTTTTTTCTTCTTTTACTTTTTATTTCCTCTACACATTCTCTACTAACCCATATATTATATTTAGAATAGAAAAAAACCCTGTGGTTTAAAAAAGGAAATTAGAGAAGCAGATGTGCCTATATGCAAATGAATATATGTCTGAACATGAACCCAAGAGGTATACACACACACACACACATATATATTCATTCCCTATCTCTGATTATCATAGAAAATAAATGACTGGTGAATCTTTTTTTAAGTGGGTATCTTCTTTTAAGTGGTCATTCTGCTTTTTAAAAGTTTTGCACAGTACCCCAATTCTTGTCATTCATATCTGGATATGCTCTAGGAGCAAACTTTAGAAATGTGATATCCTGGGTCAAAACTGCAAACCACTGAGTTTCTATATAGGCCCTTCAGCGGGACAGCATCAGACACAAGTAAAAGAGGGTTTGGTGGTTGCATCCTTAGTTTAGTTAGATCTTAAACTTGACAATTTTAGTAACATGTCTTACTACCACCTGAAGAAAAATACAAAAAGTACTTGTATTAAATAGACATATAGATAGATACATTTAGAATGAAAGACTATTTAAAAAATTCTTAGAAACACACAAATGTAAAG